GAACCTCGGCGGCGCTGCCCAGCCCAGTGAAACGAGCACCTGCTTGGAGGACCGGCTTTGCAAACCGGCCCCCCGCTCCCCCTCGTGATGCACACGCAAGCAGCTGGGGCAGAGCCCTCTGCGCCACCCGGGCGAGCTCTGCACGGGCCAGAGACGGGCTGCCGCTGTGCAGGGCCATCCCGACTGTCTGCGCCCAGACCTGCCACCAGCGGAAACACCGGCTTTTCTCTGCCTTAGGGACGTTGCAGGTGAGCTTAGGGATTCGTGGCGGAGAGCCCTGTGACCTGGCCTAGGTCGCACCAGGCTTGGTGCAGCAGCCGCAGGGTTGCCTAATTGTATGGGTTAGGTCATGGGCCTGGAGACACGGAGGTGCTCTCAGCCTGCTCTGGGCCCTCGTCTGAGCCTTCAGCCTGTCCCACCAGGGCCAGGCACGTGGGAGCCCTTGCAGCAAGCGCTGCCTGACCTTCTCCCGGGGCGGCGGCGGTGCAGCTCGCTCGGCTGCCCAGACCTCCCTTCCTTGGCGAGGCCCTCAGTCCTGGTGGGCAGGCTTACGTCGGTATTTCTCAGGCAGGGGTTAAAATGTGCCTTCCCGCAGTTTCCAGTCCCTGGAAATCCATCCTGCAGGGATCCTGTTCCAAGGAACAATGTGCCGTCTTGGCGGAGAGGATGGTCTGCGCACCCTACCCAGGCTGATAAAAGAGAGGAAGGCTTGCTGGCCGACTCCTCTTCCTCTTGCCTGGAGGTGAGGCTGCTTTCCTGCCTGGTGGGGAGCTGGCATGGTCTGAACACTGATGGTGTTTCAGTTTGTACCTGTTGCCTGTCGTCCTATCGCTGGGCACCACGGAGAAGAGGCTGGCCCCGTGCTCTCGACACCCTCCCTACAGATACTTGTGCACATGGATCAGATCCCCCCTGAGCCTTCTCTTCTCCAGCCTGAACAGGCCCAGCTCTCTCAGCCTTTCCTCATAGGAGAGATGCTCCAGTCCCTTCCTCATCTTAGTAGCCCTTTGCTGGACTCGCTGCAGGAGCTCCAAGTCTCCCTTGTCGTGGGGAGCCCAGAAGTGGACACAGTACTGCAGGGGAGGCCTCAGCAGGGCTGAGTAGAGGGGGAGGATCACCTCCCTCGACCTGCTGGCAACACTCTTCCTAGTGCACCC